CCCTGCCCGGCGTGGGCGAAAAAACTTCGAAGCGGCTGCTGCGCCTTTGTCAGGGAGGCCCGGAGGCGGGTTTGGGAGAAGTTGGCCCGAAGGGGCCTTCCACCCCAACTCCCTCCAAGCCGGTCCTTCCTCTCCCGGCAGAAGTGGCCTTCAGCCTGGATCCAGCGATGTAGAATCCAGGCGCCCACGGGAAAGGCGCCTCGGGCGAGCCAGGTGCCTTCCCCGGGTTAACGGGGCGCGGGTAAATAGAGAGGGCGAGACAGGGCCAACGTGAAATCCACGCGGGCACATACACCACCGTGCGGCCGGGCTTTTCTGGCCGCGGGCTTTAAAGGGCCTTGCATTTAGAGGTGGATATGGGTAGGTGTCGGGAAGGAGTCAAGGCCCAAGGCTTGGCTAACTCGGGGTGTTCTTCTCAGCTTCCCGGGAAACTAGAGTGAACTCCAGGCTCTTCTAGAAGCCTAATGTGGCCTCCAGCCTCTTGCAATTTGTTGAAAGAAGCCCTATTTAGAAGCAGTAGTAAAAAGGGCCAGAAAGCCCCCCAGACTGATAGCGGGGACCCAGAATCTGGTGAGCCCAGAGTCAGCTCTTTTTGCAGAACCGCCTGGGTCCTTTAACACCATTCCACATGCAGCCCACAGCAGTCTCTGCGCTTTTAAAGAAATATAAACGAAACTTGATTTACAGTGAGAGGGCCACTCCTCTTGAGCCCTTTCCCCAGTTCTAAGTGGGCCTGGGCCTCCTCCTGTCGTCCCCTCTCCTCTCCTCTTCTGTGCTTTAGAGAGCATGGATCTTCCCTGAGCCCTGGAGGTGGGCATACCCGGCCCTTCCCCCTCCTTTCCAGCGATTTCCCTCCTGCAGGCCTCCGGAGCCTTGCCGACCCCATTTAAGTCTCTCCTCCTGGAGAATTTCTAGCTTATTGTCCTGGCTAGCCCAAGTGCTACTTTGATTTTAAGCTCTTGGAATTCAGTGGACAGGTGTTTGATGATGCCTTTTCGCTGGGGCAAATGTACAAAGGATAAAAGCCCATCTTCTCAGGGAGAGGGTATGGGGTATGCTGGAATTCAGAGATGGAAGGCCCTAGAAGGCCCAGAGCCCCCTTGTAGGTAGAACTAATAGTAGAGTTTCTGCCAATTCCCCAACTTCCCCCTTGCCCAAAGACAGTACCTCTGGCTTCCAGAGAGAGGCTTTGCTGGGCATTGGGCTGCTGTGTGGAGCTGAGGAAACGCTGTTTTGGGGTGAGCTGGTAGGCAGCCTGGCAGGCACAGTTCTGCTGCCCTGTTGCTCAGTTATGCTCTCTAGACCTGAAGCTCTGAGAACATCTTATGGTGAAGAGCAGAACTGGGTATTTTAAGGACAGAAGGGAGTTTGCTGAACATGGATTTTGTGGATATTAAATACAAGGTAGGATATAAGCATTTTTCTGAGTAATGCCCTCCCCCAGTTGTCTCTCTTTTGTGATCTCTTCATATTTATGGATTTGCCACAGAAGAATAGGAGTTGGGGAGAAAGAACATTCTTTTTGTTTTTCTCCTTTAAGTTAGAGCAAGTAACTAGGAGAGTTTTGTCTCAGTTCTAGAAGCTGATCATGCCAGTAACTTTTTTTTAACTTCACTGTTTCCAGTTTCTCAGTCTCCATTTCCCCCAACACTGGGGCAAGAGTCTGAGTTTGTGTCCATGGTAGCATTTTGCAGTGGCCACCTGCCCAGCTGCAACCCAGTAATAGCACATTGGGTTCAGGGATTGTCCAAGAGGGGATTTTTTTCACATCCTGTGCTCTTCAAACCTTTCTTTGGGATGGCCAAAGTTCATGGCTTTTAAAGAGTCCCCAAGCCAAAAACAACCCTTGGAGGCGGGGAGTGAGAGCAGGAAGAAAGGCGGAGCAGTAGCTGCAGCAGGAGCAGCAGGATACATGCTTGGGGAGAACCGGAGAGGGAGACTGATTTCAACTGGACAAACCAGACCTGGTGCTCTCTCTTTTACTCAAAAACCAAATATTCAGGGATAGCCTGCGCCTTCTTGATTGAAGACAATTAATTGCGAAGGAGAATGGGATTTACCACAACAAGAGGTCAGAGTGATGGCTTTGGGGGACGGAGCCATCAGGGACCAAGGCTGTGTCCGGCTAGTCCTGCTGTACACCTTACACATTCATTTATATAACTTTTGCTTTCTTCTTTCAATTGGTTTGATCCCCCTAATTCCATTCAACAACAGCAAAAAAGCCAGTCACCAATCTGATGGTGAGGGGACCAGGAAAGGAACAGATCATTGTTTTCCATTAAGAAGGCAAGCATACAAGTGGGTCAGTTCTAGGCAATGCTTTGTACGGAGAAAGCCCATTTGGGGTTTAAATTAGGGAAAACTGCCTAGATGAAACTGCTGGTTGCTGTATGTTTTATACCTTTCTTGCATTTGTTCTTACAATGTATTCATACATAACATACCATGTATATTGAGAAGCATATCAGATATGCTTCTGGACAAGTAGCTCACTACATGTAGAGAAGTAAGTGAAGCTCTATTCGAATGGTATGGCCATGTGTGCAGTAAGTTCACAGAACATTAGGAGTCTCTAAATATCTGCTGACAAATTATGGAGATATGTTTCTTTGTGATTTCTGTCAAAAACATGGTTTAGTCCTTTTAGTACATAGCTGTAGAGACATGCTTTTTTGTTGTTGGGTACGAATGCAGGTGCACAAGCACACGGAGTCTTTTCTGCTCTCCAGAAATCCCTAAGAAAGGCACATGTCCTAGAGAAGGATATGTTTGCTGGGCACCACTGGGGAAAAATCACCCTGTTTAGGGAGTAACAGTCATAGCAAAGCTCAGTTTCGTAGCCAGAGGAAATTTCTTTCCCAAATTCTGCTTCAGATTCCTTAAAGGAATGGGGATTATTTTATTTAACAATGTATTATGTTTAATATCCTTTTCAATGCGGCAGTGATTTTAAGAAGAATGTTCATATTTTCATGTTATTACTTCTAGCTATGGATTAAAGTTTCCCCTTTTTTTTGAGTGTGCGTTTCCCCTGCTCCTTGATTATCATCTGTGGCTGGCCTGGAATTATTAGATTTTGACTGAACTCCAAATTCTAAATTAAACTTCTTTAAATATATCCTTCTGACTTGTTTCCCTTGCATTCCCTCTTCATCCTCCTCACTCCCCCATCCCTTCCCGTGATAAAAATATCTTGGGAAGCGTGAACATCTTTCAGCTCTTAGTGTATCTGAGTCAGCAGCTTCAGCCAGCCAAGCCAGCCTTTCAGGACATGGGCTCTAGAGCTGAGGAAAGTTAAGGGTCACGACCAAGGTGAAAAGCTAAAGTTACACTCCTGTGTTTGGCTCCCTTCCCCAGCCGCCAACTCTTCCTTCTGGAGAGTATCCTGGGTCTGCTCCAGCTGAGAGAGGAGAGGTCTGTGGTGGCTACAGATTTTTCCTAGGTTTACATCTGCCGTTAAATAAATACGTAAACAAGTTGTTTAAAATTTTCTTAAAGGAAAAGAAATCGAAAACATCGTATTTGATTAGGACTAAGAGAGCAGGATTAGACAGGAATCTCCTTTCCTGTTTCTTTCTCCTGAAAAGGAGCGAACAGGAGACCTATAAGGAAAGAAGTTGGAAGATTTTTGAAAACTGCCTTTATTTTATTTTACCTCCGGCACCTCCTAGCATCTTTATGCTCGTTCTGGGCTTTTCACCTCCAGTTTGACTAGGTCCTATCTGGTCAGTTTCCTAATTTTACATTTTAATTTTTTAAAGAACAGACACACTTGCAGGTATAACGAGTATTGCCAGAACACCAGTCCAGGCCAGGGTGGGAAATCCTCTGTGACTAGAGGCTGGAAGCAAAGAAGAGGGGGAGATTTCAAAACCATTCATAAAGTGTAGCTATGAAATTGAAGCGGAATCTGCTTATTTAAGATGGTTTGTTTTGGAGCACGGGGCCTGACTCAGAGTGCACTTTAAAAAACAAAAACCAACCAAATGAAAAGGAATAAGCGAGACCAACTGGTCTCTTCCAAATCTTAGCCCAGGGCTGGCTCTGGAGGGCGGGACGCCGGGATTGTCTTGGCTCCAGGCCTTTCCCGCCGGCG